GTCCACAGTATTCGATGGAACTTGGGGTGATTTTCTTGGTATCCTCCCAGATTTGTCGAAGAACCTTTTAAACGTTTAAAGGTTAAAAAAAAAAAAAAAAGACCAAAGCCAAAGTAATTTTTAAGAAGAAAAAAAAAAAATCACCTTGGCCCACAGCTGACCCTTTTCACTCCCACCGGCTGCCTGGCCTGGCCACCACCGGCACCTGGTTTGACCTCACCTGTTTCTGACCCCCGCCCACCGCTGAGGGCAGCAGTTCCCACCTCACGTGACACACTCTCTCTTCCCCACCGGCAGCCCGAAGAGGCTTTTTTCCATGATGAGGACTCGGAAACCTCACAGCGTGGGAGAAATTATTTTTTGGAAATTGGCTGCCACCACATGAGATTTGGGTGGGAAGGACCTTGACCTTGTGCTAATCAATCCGCAGACAGATAAGAGTTTATCTGGGAGAAGAAACGGGCTCCACACCTTGGAGACTGCTCATGTGAAGAATCTCATCAAATAATCTGAAAGGAGTGTGTGACTTAGGTAATACTGTGCCCAGCACAGGACGAGCATTTAATCAAAAAAACTGCCAGAGTTCTCCCTGGCAGTGGCGATGAACTTGACTTTCTGTAGGCTTGACAAGTCCCAGGCAGGCCTTCACCCCCGCCTGGGCTGTAGGGACAGCCACCTGCTGCGTCTAAGACAGGCTGGCCCTCTTCCCCAGGTCACAGCCAACTGTCAAGTCAAAATGGAATCTCTGGTCCCAGCCATAAAACCAAGACACAATTTCTGGCTTGTGATGCTACGGAGACCAGGTCACTGAACCTATGAAGTAGGCAAGCGTCATGGTCCCCAATTAGAGGGTCACTGGTAAAATCAATACTGACTTCAGCCTCAGCTGTCAGGGGTTACGTGGACGGCACCCCTGTGGTGTAGGCAGCCTGGCCCAGGGAGCTCGGATCCACATGGGTCTTCCCTAGTTGGTGAATAAGCAAAAAGTGTACACTGACGGAGAGCCTTGGTTTTGGTCCCCTCTCCTCTGGGTCCCCGAATCCCCACACGTAAGACGAGGCTGAGTTAGAGCAGAGAATCACATGCTAGGCTGTTAGGGGACAGACAGATGAGGATGGCGGGAACACGAGATTAAGGAGTAATTCCATAAAAGGGGCCCCCTGTGATGGCCCCTCATGCTTTCTTTTCCAAGAAGCAATTTACCTGCAGCCCTGCCTGGCCTATGTGGACAGGATATGCCACATTCCTCAGCAAACTACCTGTTAACCTCAGGAGAAATGCAGGCCCAGGACAATGTCGATGGGAGGAGCCCAGGAGACTTGGTGACCAGATCCTAAAACTCAGGGACATAAGGACAGTTCCTCCTAACTTCCTCCTAACCATAATCTGTAAAAATGCATGGTTAAGAATCCAATTAAAACTGATCAGCATGGGCCCAGGTGACCTAGAGTGGCCATAATGGTGCGGACTTAAAATTCTGATGTCACCCTGCCATCAGTCAGAACTCAAGAGGTGGACCTGGGCAGGACTCTCTGGAAACTTCTCTGGGATCCCTAATAAAACTGGAGCGCAGAAGAGGGACATTGTCCCTCTCCTCTCTGAGAGGACCCACTCTCTCCTTTGGGAGTGTCCCCTTACCTTTTTCCTATCCCTTCAATAAACCCATTCCTGTTCCTCTGAGCGACATGGCTGAAATCTTTCTGACTTGATCACAAGAATTGGGTTTGAAGAGGGGTTTTTGGCTGCCTCCGCTTCCCAGCAGGCCCCGGCTCTGTAACAAAGCCACGTTGATCATACAGCTGTGCGTCACAAGAGGACGGGGACATGTTCCAAGAAGTGCAGGGTCAGGTGAATTCGTCACTGAAAGAGCATCATGCAGTGCGCTCACACAAACCTACGCAGCATGGCCCACTATAGTCCTCAGCCACAGGATACAGAGATCACAGCCTATTGCTCCCAGGGTCACGGTGAACAGCACAACCCAAGATTAAGTCAAGCACAAGAGGAAGTTCTGAAATCAGGAGACACTGGGTGGAGGCTCAGTGGTAGAGCCCTTGTCCTGCATGCACAAGGCCCTGGTTTGATTCCCAGTGGCACCAAAAAAAAAAAAAAGAGAGAGAGAGAGATGCTGCAGGCTTAGGCCAGCTTATCAGGTCACACTCTTACAGTCAACTTTGCTTATCAGGAGGAAGGCACTCTAAAATGACGATAAAAACTATCCATAGTGAGTGCATAAGCCAGCAACAGCCCTTTATTATCAAGTCCTATTCACGGTACATCACAGCACGCCTTACCTTGATGCCGGTAGCAGCGCAGGTTTGCGTCACCAGCATCACCACAAACATGCAAGGAATTAGGCCCTATGACTTCACTAGGCCATAGGAATTTTTCAGCTCTGCCTGTGTGACTGCAGTTCCACGTTGGCCAAGACCTTGCTCTGCGGCTCGTGACGAGACAGACTAGCCAGGTGTACCATCAGCACAGGGCCCTCACCATCTGGTTGCCCTAGTCTGAATTATGAGAAGATAGTGGGTACAGAGGTGGGGAGGGGGCTTTGGTACCGCCAGCTCGCAGCTTTGGGAAATGCAGTCATGTTAAAAAAACGATCTCTGTGTTACAGGGACCCAGGAGGGGACAAAAAAACTTGTGGGTCAGACAGGGTCCCCTGTATGAAGTTGCTGGAGTCACTGGGGAGTTTGAGCCGGCTACAGCAGGCGGAAATGACATCCGGAAAACAGGGGGCAGGTTTGCCAGCATGAAAGCAAAGTTCTGCATTTAGGTTCAGATGAAAATGAACCACATCAGGGCACAGGGGGCAGGGGAGCGGGAGGGCAGTGAACAGGAAGCTAAGAGAAAAACAGTCCTGGAGAGCCAGGAGTACGCGCCCGAACCACCAGCTGCACCTTCTGCAGGAGGCTGATGCCTAGGAGCTCACCAGGGTCCAAGCGCCCTCACAGTGTCCAGCACGCATCTGCAGGAGCAGGCTGAGCCCAAGACAACCAAGGACACCGGCATGGCCTCAGGGAGACCGGCAGGGCAGAGGGGATGCCGCTGAAGAATAAAGAGTGCCTTGAGTGCTGGCAGGCAGAGAGGGGCAGCGGATGAGGGCAGTCTAAAAGTCACCCTGTCACACTGGGGCCTGCCTCTCCAACTCAGGACCTTTGCTCCAGTGGGGGTTTCCCAGCCCTGTAACAGGAAGTGCAGGCTCAGAGGGGAGGTGATTACAAAAGAAGCACCCACGTGGGCCCGGTTGGCCTCAAACCCTCCAGCACTCCAGGTCTCTGGAGCAGGGCCTCTCTGACATCGATTTGCTTAGGGATCATCAGGAATCTTCTGCATTTCTGAAGAGCTCCCCAGTGACGCTAATGCAGGTCTTCCAGGGACCACGCTTAGGTAATGAGGTTCCAGGCCAATTTCAAGTTACAGAGAGCCAGGTTCTGGGGGTCCCAGAGAAACCCTCTCTGTGGTTCAGCCTCTTGAAAGGGTTGGAGTGGCCTCCAAGCTACACAAGTCCCAAGGAGAGTGACAGCTGGCTTGGGAAGGACTGGCCCTCCTGGAAATACACACCAGCTCAACAAGTAGGAGTCTCCCAATCCAAGTTTCCCTAGAGGATGATGGGTTGGGGTGGTGTGCATCTGTAGTCCCTGACACTTGGGAGGGTGCAGCAGGAGGAGCCTGAGCCCAGCAGCTGCAGACACACCTGGCCCAGGAGGGAGGGAAATATATATATATATATCCCCCAGGTGAAAAGAGATTAGGGGAAGGGTGGAGTCAAGCAGAAGTGTCTGGGTCCCCAAAAGAAATGGAGCACTCAGCATTGGCTCACAATGCAGAACCCAGACAAGTTCTGCTTGCCAACTCGGTGAGATTTAATCAACTCTGCCCCACCCACCCCTCCACAAAAGAGCCCTGCCCTGGTCTTCCTCCAGGCGAGAGGTAACTGCAGTCTGGAAGCCTCCCCAACTGTGACTCAAATGTACAAAATAAAATCTGTTCCCCGCAGCTCAGCAGGCACAGGACCCAGACCTCCCCCTCTGCCCTGCCCCAGCCCACCTTTCCAGTCTCATCTTCCATACTAGGGGCCACAATTTGCCCTCCCTGTCTCTGGCCCATCTTTAGGTGTCCCCAACTCAACCGTCCCAGGCACAGCCGAGTGTGTCCCCAGTGCCTAAGCATTCTGTGTGACATCGCTTAACAAGTATGCCTCGCATCACAGTGTTTGGAGAGTGCCTCGGGTGGCCCTCACGGATGCTGAGATCCCATAACCGTCCCTTTGTCTCCCCCAGCAGCGCCGAGCACAGTGCCGGACGCCCAACGCACAGGAAGTGCTCAACAACTGAGCTGGGGCGGGGGCGACAACAGTGCCCAGAGGGGGCGCCCAGCGAGCAAGGACTAGCAGTGAGAACGAGGTTTTCTCACAAACGCCAGGGTCACCCGGACAAGGGTCGGGCTCCCGGAGCTGAGGGCTGGGCAGTCCTCTGCGCCCTCCGGAGCCGTGGCGGGGCTAGCAGAAGTCAGCGCTCCTGCCTTCCGGAGCGGCGCCACGAGCCGGGCCCCCTCCTCCAGAGCCCTCACCTTGTAAACCTTGCCGAAGGCGCCGTCGCCCAGCTCGCCCACGATCTCCCACACCTCGTTGGGGTCCAGGTCCCGGCGGACGTGCTCATATTCGCGGGATTTTCTCTTCTCGAAGGTAGACAGGCGCAGGATGCGGCGGAAATTGGCGAAAGCCATGGCCGGGGAGCGCGGGCCGGGGGCGAGGTTGGCGCGGGTGCGGGCTCGGGCTCTGGCTGTGGCTCCGGCGCCGCGAGGAGGAGGGATCGCAGGACGCAGCGGCGCTGGGGATCTCCCAGACCCGCCCTTCCCCGCAGCCTGCCGGGTCAAGTGCGCCCTGGGCAACGTCGCGGCGGGAGCACCCGGAACCGCGCAGGCGGCCGCGTCCCCGCCCCACTCTGTCCAGTCCCCTGGCCGCCTCCCGAGCGCCCGCCCCGCTGCGCCGCGCCCCACGCGCAGCCCAGATCGCGAGCTCCCTGACGCTTTCGGGGACCCTGCCCCACGCCCACCCTCCCTGCCGGCTCCACCTGCCGCTCCCCGGCAACGCCCGGAGACCCCCTAATTGGCTGCGGGCGCTCCCCGGCTCCGCCCGTCGCCGCAGGGCACTCTGGAAACTGTAGTCCCGGCGCACCGCCCGCGGGGAGCCACCGGCTGGACTTTGGAGAGCTTGGGGAACCACTAAGCGAGTCGGTCCCGGATCCGAGGGGCCAGCTGCACCGCGTAGCTCCCCAGAATTTTATGGGAGCACGAGGGACGGCCATCAAGTTGAAAGTTTTCGAGCGTCCACTGATCGTTGCCAGTGCCAAGAAGGTGACCACATCAGTTCATGGAATTCGCTTCGCCCTGCCAGGCTGTCCTGATCGTCCCCACTTTGCAGGTAGGGACGCCCGGTGGGCGAGGAAACACCCCAGGGCACGCACCGTGGCTGCCAGTCCGCCGCGGGTTTCTCAGCGCGGTGCTGCCTCCTAGTGCGCAAACGCTGCGCCCTTGCAGCCGCTGTCACGTCCGGGAGGCCGGGTGGTTCTCCTCTGGGTCCAGCTTCCCGGGGTTCCCCCCAACTCCCGCGCCCCACAAACCTGCCAGGTTCGAGGACTGGGAGCTCCATTGGATTTATTATCTCATGTTTCATGATTTCCTGTCTTACTTTTTGATAAATAAAAACTTTCTTACTTGTTTCCCAATTTAAATAAAAGATGAGCGCATTGCAGATGAAACAAAGGACCTCTTAAACCACCGTCGTCCTTGATCCTGGCGGTTGGACTCCCCGCACCGCGGCGGCTGCTACCTGCTTGTGACCTATAGACTATCACCTAAAATCAAATGCTTTCACCTAAATCTACTAACTGGGTTCCCGGGGGCGCGGTTTATCATGATATCCTTCCCTCGTGAACAGGTCTGAGTCTGCGAATGTCACATCCAGCAGCCCCCACCTCCGGGAAGCGTCCTCGTGGAGGTGGAGGTGCTTTCCCCCTTCTTGGTACTTGGAAAATATCCTTTGGGCAACGTAGGAGCAGCAAATTTGGAACGTTCCATTTGGAACGTCAACTAAAGACGCGGCGGTGCCGCTAATGCTTATGCAAAGGGTGCCCTGGCTAAATGTTGCCAAGCAGTTCAAAATGTTCCCACCACCACGTCGTGCTCAGAACTTTCAAGAGTCTTATCACTAAAAGGAGGAAATGCCACCCAAGACTGTTTCCACTGAGTGGAACAGGAACCAGCCCAAAGGTCAACCTTGGGTTTCAGACCATACGACCAGGTGTAGTGCGGGCAGAGGGCCATTCCCCCACTGGGAGATGGGGTCTGGGGAGGCTGAGGCTCAGAGAGCTCCCATCAGCCCGATAGCTGGGGGGGGGGGGGTGCCACCGGGATTCATCCAAAAATATGCTAGGTGAAGGAAGATACCCCAAAGACTGCATTCTGTGACTGCATTAATATGAAATGTGTAGAGAAGGCCAAGTTCAGACAGACAGGAGATGGGTGCTTGCCAGGGACTGGGTATGAAACAGGAGTAACTTGTAAGTGGAGGAGAGGGATCTTGGGGTGATCAAATGTTCTTCTAAAACTGGATTATGGTGACAATTTCTCAACTTGGTAAGTCTGCCCCAATTATCTTCCTTTTTTTTTTTTTTTTTTTTGTAAATGACTGGATTTTATGATATGCAAATTATACCTCAAAATTTAAGGGAAAAGAGGTTCAACAGAATCAGAACGACTGCTTTGAAACAACTAATAACTTCTGTTAAGTAACCTGGGTGCCTTTGCCTTGCTAATCTGTCTTTTGTTAGAGGACCTCGCCTTGAACCCAGGATGAGTGAAGGAGAGAGCTGGACATTGTGTGTGTGTGTGTGTGTGTGTGTGTGTTCTTTTCCTCTGTTTTCTGCAACAACTGAAGCTAGGAATTATTTGATAAATATTGTTGTCATTTGCATATCTTTAATTACTAATGAGTGTCTTCATAGTGTTTTATTAGAGTATTATAATTATGTATAACATTTAGGTTCATTTTGGCAAAATTACACATGCTAGGAATTTGATTTTTTTTTTTTTTTTTTTTTTTTTTGTGCTGGGGATTGAACCCAGGACCTTGTACATTTGAGGTAAGCACTGTACCAACTGAGCTATGTCCCCAGCCCAAGAATTTGATTTCAATCGCTATTTCTTCATAATTTTGTTAGATGTTTAAATTTCAGCTTGACTTGCTTGTTCAGAGCATATTAGATTTCCTGTCTTACTTTTTGATTGAAGGAATTGTTTTTAGATGCTCTTTTGGGGTTTAGACATTGCAAAGTCTTCTCCCAACCTCTCATCTATTACCTTTAGCCATAATGTCTACTGGTGAACAAAGATAAACTATATTGATGTTATCCAATCTATTTTTCTCCCATATGTTTTTCTGGAACTACTTCCTAGCTTTAATTTAAAATTATTATTTTTTTAATTTTTAAAAATCAACCTCACTGCAGCTTAATTTACGTTTAATAAAATGCACCTATTTAAAGCATAGTGTTCAGGCTGAGGCTATAGCTCGGTTGGTGGAGTACTTGCCCTGCATGAACAAGGCCCTGGGTTTAATCCCCAGCTCCACTAAATAAATAAATAAATAAATAAAGCATAGTGTTCATTGAGTTTTGACAAGTCTACAGGGACACCACGTATATGCTCTTTGGTGTCTAGCTTTTTTGTGTGTGGGTGCAATGCTAGGGATCAACCAGGGCCTCCCACATGCAAGGCAAGGCTCTGTCACTGAGCCACATCCCAGGCCTCAGCATAATGCTTTTGAGAGTCAGCATGGTATTCAGTGTATAGGTGGTCCAGTCCTTTTCATTGCTAGGTAGTATTCCCTTTTGTGGATATACCATAATGTGAATCCACTCAGCTGTTGAGTTGTTTCATTCCTTGTTTATTTTGAATAAGTGGCTGTGAACATTTGCATGTGAGTCTGCATGGATATGTCAGGCTATAGGACACGCTGCTCTGAAATATGGCACGTTGGTGTTTGGAAAACAGCAGAGGCAGGAAGGTCACCTTCATCTGGCCCTTTCTCCCCAGAAGCAGGTCACAGAATCTTTGGGTGCCCTTTCCAGACCCAAAGGATAGGAGAGCTAAACACGCATACGGCAGTAAGGATGGAAGAGACTTTCCTTGCTGAGCTGCCCCAGGCATGGCCTGGCCGTCACGCCTCTGTAGGCCTGCAGTCACGTGTCTCTAGGGCTGTCCACTCTCCAAACCTAAGCCTAAAACCACACACGTTTACCTATTTCTTCCCGTCTTCGTTGGCTTAGGAAGACTCCCATATCCCATGAAGTGTACACCAAGTAACCTTTTGTCATAGGGTCTCACCATGAACCCAGCGATGGATATTTCCCTACAGGTGGGTATTTCCGTTTTCCATGGGTGTGCCTAGGAGTACCGTTGCCGGGTCCCATGTTAAGTGTATGGTTAATTTTGTAAGAAATTATCCAGCTAATTTGCAAAGTAGTGAACTCCTGCTCTGTCGGAATCATGCTGTTTCCATCTCCAAAGGAGAGGCAGGGGCTCCTGGGGCTCGGACAGCACTAGTCCTTTTAGTTTTGGCGATTCTAGTGAGCGTGTAGTTGCATGGGGAAGCGCTTGTTGTGATTTAGGTATGATGTCCCCCAAAAGCTCAGGTGTGACGTTGCAAGAAGGCTCGGAGGTGCAATGGTCAGACGGGGAGAGTGGATTAATCCCTGGTGGGGATCAGCCTCGTGGTGACCATGTCAGGTGGGTGTGCCGCTTCTGAAACCCTGATCTCCAAATAAACTTTTCCTCTTCAAAATCGCTCTTGCCAGTTCTTTGGGTCGGGGAGATGACAAATTGACTGACACTCTCCACCAGGACTCTCACTCACACTCTCCTGCTTCCCTCTCCAACACCAAACATTCTCGGTTCTCTGCAGACCCCAGCCGGGGGGTCCTGCAACCCAGTTCAATTCTGCCACCATCTGCCTGGAGCTGACCCCAGCCTAAGCCACATTTCCAGTGACTGCGGGGCGTGGAAACCCTACCAAGTGATCCTGGGCTGGGCTGGGCCGGGCTCAGAGGTGGAGCCTTGGCTGCTGTGCACAAGGCTCTGGCTCCGTCCCCAGCACAAAATGAATAAATGGAGTGTTTTTTACTGTAGCAGAAACATAACTGTCCCATGGCTGTGGTGGTGACCTCATCTCTGAAGGCTCCACCATCTCTGGCTTCTGCCGCTTCTTGATCACAGTGTGCTTGTTCCTTATGGGTTTAGTTTCCTTGAGAAATTATTTCTGGGGTCTCACTGGGCCCTTACAGAGAGGGCGTAGACCTACTGGGTGTGCACAGGCTTCCCTTCTGCACCACCGCTCTGGGAAACCGTGATCCACGGACTCCTTCAGTGCTGCCGTGATTTCACCCTTAGAGCCGTCAGTTATTGGGGAGGAAGCTTGTCCCCACAGCTTGCTCCACCGTGTTGATGACATCAGACCTGCTTTGAAACAGTTTAGATTATTTGTTCTTTGATGATTGGATAAAACCGTCTGAGCCAGGTCTTTGCTCAGCACCTCTTTGAGCCTATCCTTTTGGTACCTGGTTACCGTTAGTGGTGGGTTAGGTTGAACTCCATCACGAGCCAGTCCTGGCAGAGTGACTCCTGTATCTCGCTCCTGCTGTCCAGTGTGGAAGCACCAGCCCTCTGTGGCCAGTGAGCACTTGGAGTGTAACTCATCTGCACTGAGGATTAAAGAAGTGCAAAACAGACACAGGATTTTAATTTCTAAAAAACATTGATTACAACTTGAAATATATTGGACACACTGGGTTAAATAAAATATTATTAAAAGTATTTTCACTTGTTTTAAATGTGGAAGATAGGGGGAAAATTGTTGTTTTTCCACCTTTTTTTGCAGTACTGGCAATAGCACTCAAGCTGGACAAGTGCTGGACCATACCACTGAGCTACCTCCATCCCTAGCCCTTGCTATTTTGTTTATTTGCTGTCCTGGGGATTGAACCCAGGGCTTCGTGCATGCTAGGCAAGTGCTCTACCACTGAGCTACATTTCCAGCCCCTTTTTATTTAATTTTGAAACAGAGTCTTGATAAATTACCTAGGCTGGACTTGAACTTGACAATCCTCCTGCTTCAGCCTCCCAAGTAGCTGGGATTATAGGCATATACCACCACACCTGCTAGAAAAAAAAAATCAATTACACATGACTCAACCTTGTGGCTTATATTATACATTTATTGGATGAAGTTTCATAGTAAAAAGTTGTACATAATATTCTTATATGTATTTTAATATTTTTTATCATTAGTTGTTTCTTTTCATTCTTAATTTTTAAAATCTTCTTTGCCCTTTCTTATCACACTTGTAAAAGTTTGTCTCTTTTATTGGTCTTTTTCTGAAAGAGCTTTTATTCTAGATCTAACTACTAGTTTCATATAAAATGCAGGATACAGAAGGATATGTTAATGCTCTGGGGATAAATCTGTAAAACCAGAATGTTCTCATCTACATGACAATCTGGACTCTTCAAGAAATAAACTGTAAGAGAAAGATGAAAGAGGAGAGAAGTAAAAAAAAGAACAAGAAAAACGAGAACAGAAGGAGCGTTGTAACTGACACATAGATCTGTTTAGGTTCCTGACTTAAATAATCACCTATTAAAACTTGGAATCAACAATTAAGACTATTTGAATGTCCCCTGGATATCTGATGCCATTTAGGAATGTTTCGTGTTAATTTTTTTAAAAATATATATTTTCTAGATGTTGATGGACCTTTATTTTATTCATTTATTTATATTTGGAGCTGAGAATGGAACCCAGTGTCTTGCACAGGCCAGGCAAGGGCGCTACCTCTGAGCCCAGCCCGAGCCCCAGCCTGAGCCCCAGCCCCAGCCTGAGCCCCAGCCCGAGCCCTGCTTCTGTTCATTTTGTGTTCTGATAGTGGCCACCAGTTATGTTGAAAGATGAAGAAGTTCCTCTTTTTCAAATACATATTCAGATATTTACAGATGAGCTCTTCTGTCTGGGTTTTGCTTCAAAATAGCCCATCGGTGGTGGCAGAGCGAGACTGTCCTGGCTCTGATGGTCAGGTGGGCGCTGCCCACACCACTGGATATGCCTGGTGTGTCCATTATAAAAAATGAAAGCTGGGGACGGGGATGGGGTATGGGGGGAATGGAGGTGGCTCAATGGCGGTGCGCGTGCTTAGCCCCCGTGAGGCCCTGCGTCCCTCGTCACCAGTGGAGAAAGAGAAGGAGCGGCCTGAGGCTGGCCAGGCTACCTTCCTGTTCCCTCTCTGGCAGGACCTCCTGCTGAAGCCCTGCCCGCCGTCTCCCTTTTTCTGGTGGCTTCCTGCCTCTCATGCTCCTCTGACCTGCACTCTGGATACAAGTCCTTCCCTGGGCCTTATGTGACTGACAGCGTCCTGGGTCCCTCTGGTACTTGGTGTGGTTTTCTATGCCGTCCGGGCAGGAGGGCCAGCGCGGTGGCACAGCACACCTTTCCGAGGTGGCACATCGGCTGTGCTCTGCTAAGCAGCCCGATTCCCTCTCGGGAGGTTGTTTTAGTGACAGACAGGTCATCGTGGTAACAAGAGAGTGGGGACAATGATACCTAGAGCAGAGCTAGAGGTGGAAGGAGGCAGTTTACCCTCATCCCCGGGCGTGTCCCCTGCTGTGGCCAGACCTGCTCAGAGGCCCTGCCCAGCGTTCCAGTTCCAGTTCCGAGGCGGAACCCTCCATTCTGCTTCAGGCTGCCAGAGCCGCTGGCTGCAAGGGGCCAAGATGAAACTGAAACAAGGGTCCTTCCTGTGGTACCTCTACCTGGACAAGATATACTGCCTGCTGTCCCTGCGGAACGTGAAGGCGCTGGTGGAGTACTTCTACCTGCTGGACGTGCACCGCAGAAACGCCTTGAACGGTCAGTGCCGCCCACAGGCTCCCCCCCTGGCTGGTGGCTGATGCCCAGGCAAACTCAGAGCAAGGAACTGGTGAGCGAGCACTTGTCCTCTTCCAGAGGAAGCACAGACAGGAATGGCCAACCGAGAGCTAAGACGGGTGGCCATTTGTGGGGACCCGGGGAGCAGGCCGGGGGCAAGTCCACCCACTACTAACGGGTGGTCCACCCATCAGGCCGTGGTAGTTGGAAGCATCCGCTTCAAGGCTGCTACCTAGAAGTACAGGGGACCCCAGGCTGGGGCGTACTCAGTGGCAGGGCACAGGAGTCCTGGGTTGGGTCCCCAGTGCGTGCGCACTCACCATGGAGTCCACATCAGAGGGGACCATGCTTAGCACAGTGCCTGGAGCAGCTGGTGACTTAAGGAAGGGTCGTGGTTATTGTGAGTATTATTGGAGGCAGAGGCCCCTGTCAGCAAGACTCTCCTTCTAGCCTGTCCAGTGGGAGCTGGTGTCAGATGGTCAGGTGACCCTTCTGGTGCTGCTTGTGAGTGACCAGAGAACACCAACAGTCCCAGTCCTGCCATCGAGCCCACAAACTAAGAGAGACCAATTAAAACACCTCAGGGTCTTTTTAGCATTGAGTAAAAAATCAGTTATCCCATCTTCGCGTGCACCCCAAACTCAAAAGACTGACATCATTCGTAAGAAGGGTGTCCCCCAGTTGAGATTTCCAAGAATTCATTTAATTTTAAAAAAGCAAATGATAAAGGGGCTTGGGACTCGATGGAGAAGCAGGTGCCTAGCTAGCACAAGGCCCCAGGCCCCAGGCTGAATACAGCATGGCGGAAATAACAAAATCAAGAGAGAACAGCTTCTCCTCACAGCTTAGCGCCCAGCTCTGCCACTCAGCTGCCACCAGTCATCCTCGGGTTCCCCCTGACATAGCAGTTGAGGTTCGTATATTGCCAAGTCTGCAGAGAAGGCAGCTGTGGGCTCCCTGGCTGTGCACGAGGTCCGAGGCAGAGACCCAGGGCTTTCTGACTCCACAGCCCACCTGGGTCTCTGGACCGTTTGCTGGGTGATCTGGTCTCCATAGTAACCAATCATGCCTGGAAGATACACACCTGAGGTCAAGCCACGAACACTTTGGCTTGAAAGGCTGAAGTCGTGGCCTTAAAGCTCACCTGGGGTGCCAGGGTTGACCTGAGTCCTCGGAGCCCAGTGGCCAGAGTCAGCTGGTTTCAAAACTGCACTTATTAAGTAGCTATTAGGTCCTGCAGGAAACCTTTCCCAGGGAGCAAGCACCCAACATCACCTTGGGCGGCTCCCTGCTGTTCAGACCTGGTGGGGCACGGAAAGGAGACCAGGAGGCCATAGAGACCCCCAGATCCTGACGTTGTGACGGTGGGTTCTCTGTGCTCTTAGCTTCAGTGGGACTCTAGATGACAAGGGAGGGCTCACATACTCATGGAACCAGGAGGTGGTTTCTTTTTTTTGGGGGGGGTGGGGGGCTACTGGGGATTGAACTCAGGGCACTCGGCCACTGAGCCACGTCCTCAGCCCTATTTTGTATTTATTTAGAGACAGGGGCTCACTGAGTTGCTGAGCATCTCGGTTTTTGCTGAGGCTGGCTTTCAACTTGTGATCCTCCTGTCTCAGCCTCCCGAGCCGCTGGGATCACAGGTGTGTGTCACCGCACCTGGCTCAGGATGTGGTTTCTGTAACCAACAGGCAAGGGGGGATTACACGTTGACAGGTTCACGTGAAAATTCCTCATGGTGACTGTGGACAGCCACACACACTGCATATATGAATGGCCCACTGTTAACCCATCCTGTGCTCCCCAGGACCCGGGGCCCAGGGGTGGCACGGCATGTGGGGCCTCCTCTCGTGTCTACACCACAGTGATTTATCCTGACTGTCTGACAGAATGTGCTTTAATTAATGCCCAGAAGATCCAGCTCCACTGTGAAGGGGCAAGGCTGGAGAGTCCCGTCCACCCCATGGGAAGCCCAGCTCTGCCACTCAGCTGCCACCAGTCACATCCCCTGGGAGTGCAGAAATGTGGACCCAGTCTTGCCCGTGTTTCCTGAGTCAGAATCTGTGGTGATAAGCCCCCAAGTGGCTGGATCGCCCGTTGAGGGGGTGGTGCCTGCTTCCCTGTAAGGCTGCAGGAGGTCACCGAGGTGTGGTGTTTTAAATGCCCTGCATGTCAGATGGCCACAAGGTCTGCTCCCTTCTCGTCCCAGCCAAACACATCTGCTTATATATCCTTGAGGGTCATCGATACTTTTCTAGAAGAGGAATTTTTTAAGTTCCTCTGATTTTAATTATCTCAAAATAAAGGCCCAGGTAAAATATTAGCATCTCCCAGAGAGAATTAAACTGTCCCTCCCAGGTAGGAGCACACTGTGCCTGTGTGTGTGTGTGTGTGTGTGACCTTGCCTCTGTGCCAGGGACAGGGACTTCTGCGGCTCGGAGCACGTGACTGGGGTCAGCCCTGATCACAGTCTCCTTCTCCATGCCTCCGGGCCCAATGCTTGTCCACACAGCTCAAAAGAGCGTGGGCCCGAGGGGCTGTGGGAGGAACTGGGGAAGCCAGAACCAACATCCCATCATTCTCCTGCCCATCCAGTGAGCATCGGGCATCCCTGCCATCCAGGAGGCTCCCAGCTGCTGGTGTTTGCAGCTGCTCTGGACCGACCCTCTCTTGACCACCCTTCACAGATGTGCTCTTCTTCCACTTCCTCTCCCACATCACCAACTTGAAATCGAGACAGATCAAGATGGTGTTCGACATGCTGGACTGGAATGCCATGGGCGAGATTGGCTTCGAGCAGTTCTACATGTTGGTTTGCATTCTGCTGTCACACCAGGCAAGTAGCGAGCGAGGCCAGCCCTGGGAGGCTGAGCTGGCCACTGCCTCCACCTGGCAGCTGCCTCCCCCGGGCCACAGGTAGCGCTTTATAGTTTTCCCTCCTTTCACTACAAACTAGAGGAAGGGAAAAGGAGGGGGTGTGACTTTAGCTCCTGGATGGTCTGTCCAGAACCTGCAGGTCTGCGCCATGCCACAGGCGGCCCTGCCCACCTGAGCCCTCCCACAACCCACCTCCCCCAACCTCGGCCCCACCCGTCTGCCGTCCTTGAGGGCTCTCCATCAGTGACCTCCAGTGCCCCGCCAGCCTTCTGCCCAGAGTTTTCTGCAGGACCAATGAAGCAAGGGGCTTCCTGGGAGGTCCATCTGCTCCTCGTCCAGTTCTGTGGATTTGCACCTTTCCACTCCTTGAAAGGGACCTCGTGTGGTCAGCCCCACCCCAGTGCCACTGTGTTCCCTGCGGTCTCCTGGGTGAGGCAGTGGGCTGCTGTAGCTGCAGGATGGCCAGCTGATGTCCCCTGTGGGGCACAGCCCCTCGCCTGCAGCCCTCCAGGGAAGGTGCTGACTAAACAAGCCCGGGGCTGCCAGGAGTGGAAGGCAGGCCAACTCGTCCCCGTCTTACATATTTCTCTCAAAACAGAACCATCTGGAAGAACAGTTCATGTACCGCCATTCGCGGCCTGTGTTTGACCTGCTAGATCTGGATGGGGACCTGAAGATCAGCCCCGACAACTTCTGCATGTACAGATTCCTCTTCAACATCGAGAAACAGGAGCTCAAAGAACTCTTCCACGACTTTGACATCACGGGTGACCATGTGAGTGCAGCGCCCTGTGCTGGGCTGCGTCTGGACCCCAGCCCTCCACGCACCTGGCCGGGCAGGGCAGGGGAGACTGCAGCCCAAGGCCTGGGCCGGGATCCGAAAAAGGCGGGGAGGGGCACGGCTCCTGGAGGCAGGGATGGGCTCGTGCCACGTGGTGGACCTGGAAGCCCCCCTGCAATGTGAGAGTAAGCGTGTCACAGGGTGGCACTGGCTGGGAAAGGCTTATAGATCTGAACTAGCAGAAAGGGGGAATTCTAGGATGGGGTCCAAAGAGCGAAGTCCTAAGCAGGCCATGGTGGAGTCGATGAGGTTGAGGGGGATCCCTGCTGGGCACACGGGAAAGCTGAGGTGGAAAAGGCTGGATCATGCTGGGAAGAGCCCTGGGGGCCGCCCAAGCATCCGCCCTTGACCCTTGTCCCCCTAAGAGTCCACAGAGGCGCTCTTCCTGGGCACTATTATCACACTACAACCATGTCCTAATCATTGCGCCTGAGTTTCCAAATTTCTAAATACGATAATAAGCCTATTGTCATGCTAGAAAGTAGCCAACCTTCCTGAAATAATTTCTTTTTTTTCTCCCAACTGAAGCGTCTTAATTACAAGGAATTTAAGCTATATACAATCTTCTCCACGGACAAATCCCAGAATAAAGGGAAGGAGAAAAAGAACTTGAAGTTGAAATCCACGCTAATGAAGAAAGTGTTCCAACAAGTTGGCATGAGCCATAAGAGTCTGTTGGAAAAAAATGAGATCCAGAAGTAGAGAATATCATTAAAACGACAGTTGTCACATGTCTAAGAATAAATATGAGCATTCACGCAGGCCTTGCTGTCCACTTCCATACACGGAGGGTCCAGGTGAACTCTGCTCAGTTGGCAGTTCTGGGGTGCCAGGACAGAGCCCGGGGCCGTGCACCCCAACTAGCGGCAGCCCAACCTCAAGTTACTGTCCTTCTGCTGACAGGGCTGCTCTTGAGGTCAGCTCTGCTCACTAGGGCCCCGTGTATGTGTCCAGGGTGACCAACACTTCCTGGAGCCAGGCGGCTGCAGGGCGAAGCTCCCCTGATCTCTGCTGCCAGGTCCAACCCTCACACCTCTACTCTCTCCTTCCTTAGGCCCAGACCCCTGGATGCCAGGCTGCACACTGGCCAGGGGTGACGTGCCTCCGTGTCAAGAGTTGGCTCTAAGGACATGGAGGCTGTCTTGTTCTTTTCTTTCTTTCTGAGACAGGGTCTCAGTATGTTATGCAGGCTGGTCTCCAACTCCTGGACTCCAGGGATCCTCCGGCCCCCGCCTCCCTGGTGCTGGACTCTGGGCGAGTGCCGCTGCCTGGCTCAGCTGTGTTCTCAGAACCTGAACTACTCTCTGATGAGTTAGTTGTTGACTAGAGTAATCATGGCGTGCCCTGTATACTTTTAATTCTTGTGTAATTAACGCTTTGAGTAATTTGAAAGTATTTTTGGCATTAGGCTTGTGACACCTCCCTGGCTGACTGGATCATGACTTTAGTAATGGCAGCTGTCTATAATATGCTTGCTATGGGGTGAGCAGTGACTTACATGACCTATGTAATTTTTTTCCGGTACTGGGGATTGAACCCCCTAGGGTGCTCTATCACTGAGCTACATCCCCAGCACTTTTAAAATTCTGAGACAGGAGCTTGCTAAATTGCCCACACTGCCCTTGAACTTGAGATCCTCTTGCCTCATCCTTCCAGATAGCTGGGATTACTGGCCAGGCCACCATGCTGGCTTTGTTTAGCCTTTAAACCCTGTCAATCAGGTGTCACTACCATCAATTTATAGATGAGGAAATTGAGGCCTAGAGATTAAGACCCTTACCCAAGAACACATGGCTCATGCTGGCAGAGCCAGGGCTCAAATTCAAGGTCAACTAAGTCAGCCTGTCTTACCAGCAGGGATCTCAGTAACTCACTTCCTTTTAGCAGATTCTGTTTAAGTTTAAAGCTAGCAACTCATTGGGTCAGAAATCTCACCTGCTTAATGTTAATTACAACTCTTACCACAAATCTCTGAGGAACAAGTTTTGGGAGTGAAGAAATATAGGTCGTTTACTATAAACCAAGGATTTCTTATGGACACATTAAGTAATGCTGACCTGAAGGCCAGTTCAAGCAGTTCCATCATGGAAGGTCAAGTTGGATCACAAGGTGTCAGGATTAACTGGCAAGAACACTGCCCGCTGGAGACTGTCATCATTCCTCCATCAAACTGGTACTAGGAACTGTTAATTTCTGTGAATCCTCTCCATATTTCCTCTATTAGACATGGTTTTCTTATTAATTTTTTTTTTAGTTCTAGATGGTCATGATGCCTTTATTTATTTTAGGTGGTGCTGAGGATCGAACCCCGTGCTTCACACATGCGAGGCACCACTGAGCCCCAGTCCCAGCCCTAGAAAGGGGGTTTTGATAACATACCTGTGACCACGCTCAATGTCATTGTCAGCAAAAAAGATCTTCTCTCTTTCCCGCAATGGTACCATAAAAACTGGATGGAACTAGCATAAAAAAACCTACCAGCTGCAGTCACATCTGTTTCCCACATAGAGACAACAGCATCTCTCTCCTGGAGTTGTTAACACCCAAAAGATGCACCGCCTCACAGCAGCGCCTTCCTTCCTCTGACCCGAGGTCCATCCGTGCCTCATCACCTCCCAAGGCCAACAGCTGCACCCCGCCCTGCTCCCCAGCCCTCGCCCCTGCACGCATAGCCCTCTAGCTCCGCCCCTTCTGGGGCAGCCTCCATGGCTTTTGCCACCAGACAGCCCAGGAGCTAGGTGTGGTTTGAGGGAAGAAACTGAAGTATGAGTTTCTCTTCCACCTTCCAGGGACGGTCCTGAGGTGCAGAAAGATCCATGGGCTGTGATTTTTCAGACGTGGCCACTAAGGCCACCAAAATACTGAGTCCTTTGTTTCAGAAAGGGGCAGGGAGGTTTTTAGCTTGAGTCCATCCCATTTATTGATTCTTGATTTTATTTCTTGTGCTATAGGAATCTTATTAAGGAAGTCAGGGCCTAATCTGACGTGATGAAGATTTGGGCTACTTTCTCTTCTATTAGGCGCAGGGTCTCTGGTTTAATTCCTAGGTCCTTGACCCACTTTGAGTCGAGTTTTGGGCATGGTGAGAGATAGGGGTTTGGTATCATCTTGTTGCATTTGGATTTCCAGTTTTCCCAGCACCACTTGTTGAAGAGGCTGTCCTTTCTCCAATATACATTTTTGGTATCTTTGTCTAGTATAACTGTATCTATGTAGGTTGGTCTCTGTGTCCTCTATTCTATACCATTAGTCTACCAGTCTATTTTGGTGGCAATACCATGCTGTTCTTGTTACTATTGCTCTGTAGTATAGTTGAAGGTCTGGTATAGTGATGCCACCTGCTTCACTCTTCTTGCTAAGGATTGCTTTAGCTATTCTGGGTCTCTTATTTTTCCAGATGAATTTCATGAATGCTTTTTCTAAGAAATCATCAGTGAGGTGAAGAGAGAACCTACAGAATAAGAGCAGATTTTTACCATATGCACATCAGATAGAGCACTAATATCTAGGATATATAAAGAACTCCAGAATCTTAACACCAAAAAAACAAATAACTCAATCAATAAATGGGCCAAGGAACTGAATAGGCACTTCCCAGAAGATGATATACAATCAATTAACAAATATATGAAAAATGTTCAACCTTTCTAGCAATTAGAGAAATGCAAATCAAAACTACTCTAAGATTTCATCTCACTCCAGTCAGAATGGCAACTATTATGAAGACAAACAGCAATAAATGTTGGAGAGGATGTGGGGAAAAAGGTACACTCATACATTGCTGGTGGGACTGCAAATTGGTGCAGCCAATATGGAAAGCAATATGAAGATTCCTTGGAAAACTTGGAATGGAGCCACCATTTGACCCAGCTATCCCACTCCTTGGTCTAAACCCAAAGGACTTAAAAACAGCATACTACAGGGACACAGCCACATCAATGTTTATAGCAGCACAATTCACAATAGCTAAACTGTGGAATCAACCTAGATGGCCTTCAGTAAATGAATGGATAAAGAAACTGTGGTGTGTATGTATGTATGTGTGTGTACACACACACACACACACACACACAGGAATATTACTCAGCATTAAAAGAAAATAAAATCATGGCATTTACAGGTAAATGGACAGAGTTGAAGAATATTGTGTTAAGTAAGCCAATCCCCAAAAAACAAATGCCAAATGTTTTCTCTGATGAGGATGCTGATCCATAATAGGGGGCGGGGGGGACATGGGAGGAATGGAGGAACTTTAAAAAGGGCAAAGGGGAGGGACGAGAAGGGGGGATAGGGGGATAGGAAAGATGGTGAAATGAGATGGATGTCATTATCCTAAGTTCATGTATGAAGACATGAATGGTGTGACTCTACTTTGTGTACAACCAGAGACATGAAGAATTGTGCTCCATATGTGTACTATGAATTGAAATGCACTTTGCTGTCATATGTAACAAATTAGAACAAATAAATACACTTTAAAAAAGAAAAGAAAAAAAGGGGGAGAGAGGCAAGAATGAGTCAAAGATAGGAAGCATAATTCTTAAGACGAGCTTTCCCCTCTTACCTGGAAATCAGGGTGGCTACAAAATCTAGTGTGAATTGGCTCAGATTTTCAAAATCTTCCTTTTAAAAGCATCTCCATAAATGGGATGGATATAGAATGGTATCAGAAAAATGCATTTATCTCTAATGGGTCCAAACTGAAATTCGGTATAAAAATGAAAATTTAAATGCACCAGTAAAGTGACACTCCTTTGTGACTAGGAGTACAAAGAAAACAGCCTATCAATACCAACTTTAGGTACTTTTTTTCTCATTTATATTATGTGACTTAAAACATTTTTCAGATGTGCATATAGACCTGGGAGTGCAGCTCAGGGTAGAGGGAGTACCTTGGCATGCGCAAGGACCCAGTTTCAATCCCTAGCACTGCAAAAAAAATAAAGTGTATGTAGATCGTTTGAGTTAATAAACTGAGTGTAGATTAAGTTAATAAATGGAGTTTCCACAGTCGAGTTGGAATTTCTTGGTCACATGTATGTTCCAGGGTGTGGTCCATCCATGGAGGGACAGGGACAGCAGACCTGATAGATGTGGACACAGCTACCTTTTCAGCCCAGGGCCCTGGACAGGCTCCTCTGTGATCTGTACCAGCCATAAGTATGGAATTCTGAAGGGAGCTAAGGCAGCTAAGCCACCCTCCACTAGCGCTCAGTCTCCCGTTTGCGCACCACTCTAACCTCTGACCTTGAAGACTGGCAACCAGAGCAACTGTGCTGACATTTGCCAAGATGGGACCCTTGCCACCTGAGCAGCCTGCACTTCATCCCTTCAGGGGGATGACAGCCTGAAAGGGCCACGTCATTAGAGACCCCAATAGAAACAAGAGGAGACTGGAACAGGGGCCGCCAGCTGCTCTCCTTCCCTCTCCTCCCCAGTAAGAAACTCGGCACAGCTGCTGCTAGTCTGTCCAGTAGGAACATCAGTAAAAAGCACCTTGCGGGGCTGGGGCTGGGGCTGGGGCTGAGTGGTAGAGCGCTCGCCTTGCATCCCTGCAGCACTGGGTTCGAGCCTCAGCAACCCATAAATAAATAAAATAAAAGTATGGGTCCACCTGCAACTAAAAAAAGAAGCATATTGTGTTTAAAAACTACCAGAAAATAAGAGCTCCCCATTAACAGGACAGACAGATGGAAAAAGCCCAATCAGGACTATCACCTCACCTCACTCCTTTCCCAACCCCACAGAGATCTCTGAAGTCTCAGAGGGGGAAGGGAGAGTCTTTTCGCCTTGGTGTGTTTGGACTGATGGTTTCACAGGCACGTGCTGCCTATTCTGAAAACCACTTAAAAATCTGAACAAAATCAAACCTGTTACTTTGATCCAAAAATGGATAATAAATGAGCTTAGTGCTTCCGAAAACCTGAACTGTGAGTTGATATGCAGGATGATTTTAGAAGAGAAAACCAGCTGATTCAGACCCAGAAGTCAGTGCAGAGCGAGGCGTGTCTGCAGCACTGTGCAGGAGTTGGCCCAGTGAGCCTGAGGGGGTGAGGAAGACCTTGATCTTTACTGGGCTGAGGCTTCAGGAAGGAGGAAACCTTCACACACTCATTTGAACAAGGCGGATCACCCTTATGAGGAGAGCAACAGATAAAACCCCAGAATAAAGGCAAAGACAAAGAGAAAAATTTAACTTTTTTTTTTTTTTTAAAAAAGCACAAAAACCCTACATACTAAAATTATACACATCAAGTATTGGTCCAATCTTATATCAATCTATTAACAATTAAACAGCACCATGGTTTTCTTACCTAGGTTAAACATGCCCAGAAAATTGTTATTCAAAGTATATGTTCCTTTAAAATAAAATAACTCTTAAAGAGAGAGAATCTTCAATAATCAAGACCTTTTACCAACCATAGATTATTGATGACATTAACAAATTTCCTTAAGAAAAATCAGTTTAAACATTTTTTTTTCCAGTTGATGAACATGAGAGATGCTGCTGTTCAGTGTGGCAACGATGAACAAAAACTTTTGGATGAGGGCGATCTACTGAAATGCCCTCCTAGCCCCACCTCTGAGGGAAAACTTCTCCTCTGGAATTAATGCTGCTGTTTCTCTTGAATTTAGAGTCAATCATCAACAAGCAAATCAGATGTAGCCACAATCTTTAAAGTGATCGAATAACATTAGGGAAGTAGTTAAAGCTCTCAGAAACATGATAAAGTTACAGTTATAGATATACTTAATCAGGCTATAGGAGATTTAATACCATTTTTAAACAATGCATTTAGACTAATTAGCAGTTTCATTTTGTCACTTTAACTAACAAGGTGCTCACACCCAAGTAGCTGTGGAGGTGTGCCTCCCCCCAGCACGGCACCCATGCTCCTTGCTCCCCTTCCTCCTCACGGAGGCCCCAGGACACAGCCTGGTAAGGGAGGGAGTCCGCTTCTCTCTCAGAGCCAGGTCTTAAGGGTCTCCAAATTAAACGCAGCCCTGGGCAGCTTTACTCAGCCACAGCACCCAAGACTCAGGCCTTCGCAGATTTCTCAGTTCCTGGCCACCAAACATGATTCTGCAGATGGTTCTTAACTTGCCTCTTTGCAAGAAAAGATGAGAGAAGAACTGTTATCCGCTTGGCTGAGGGTAACAGTGAACTGGGGAGCACTGAGGTCTGAAGCGCTGCCACGTCACTGCTAATGTGAAAGCAACACCAGCAAACCTTTCACTCTGGATTCTCAGTCGAAAGTTTCTCTGCAAGTTCTCCCAGGCACAGGAGGACTGGGCTTTCCCTGCACCCCTGCAGAGCCGGGAGAGCCTCACTGCACTGCCTCGTGGTGGGAAGAGTAATAGACTCCTGCCTCCCGCCCGGGGACTATGGGCCTGGGGCAGGGTAGGCGATGCAAGTGCAAACAGAGCAGGGAGTATGGAAGGTACACGGAAGGTACACGACGTAGTGACCTTCTAAACCAGACATGAAAACAGCTGTCTGTGCAGGATTCCAAAACACCTACGCAGCACCCAAGGATCAGGTGGAAATCAGAAACAGGACTGCACGAACTACTTACTGCCTGGTGTTCAGAGGGGTCCCGGCCATCAAACATGCTCAAGGCACCCAAACTTAGTGTGACTGTCAATAAGGGGCTCAACATGTGGGGATGGGAAAAGCAACACTGAAACACAATTTGCCAGTCTTACTCCTTTATGGCTAAATATGAAATGAGCTAACAAAAAACCAGAACAGAAATGAATCTCAAATACTGCTCTTCTCAGATTCTATCAAAAAATTATAACCATTATTGGTGACATCTGGAAATTATATAATCTGACAGATGTTTTAAAAATTCTGTATTCAAAGGTGCTTGGTGCTGTTCTTCAAGGTTACAATGTTCCACTTACAGTCTAAATCATTTAAATTCAGCCATTAAGTAGTTGAGTGTTTTAAAATAAATGGTTATCTATTTTCTTAACTGCCTCTCAAATTAGAAATTGTAGTTACATGAGTCTCAAAGGCTGGCTCTTTGTGTTTTATTATTTTTGTTGGTCTCCATCACAGATGGAATTTTTCACTGGTAATTCCTCAGAACTAAATTCATTCATAGGGAATTCAGAGCAGTGAAAATAGGTTTCACGCCACAGAGTTGAAAATGACAACAATAACAAACAGGAGAGGGGGAGCTGGCTCGGCTCAGTTCTCGACTGGCGTGGGGTTGTGCACGGGCTGGCTCACGATCACCTGCACGACGTAGTCCTTGGGGATCTTCAGCTCCTCCAACTTCATTTTGTCGGTGAGAGGTCTGCCTGAGAAGAACCACCGCTGGCTTCCCGGCTCCACCCCTTCGGCTGCGTGCAAGCGTCTCTTCATGTGGAACACCGTGTCTGTGCTGCGCACCACAAGCTTGAGGTCTTTGCCTGTGGAGAGGCGAAGTCGGAGCTGGGACTCGTAGCCAGAGTTGGGTGGTGGCTCAGGAATGTCCAGAGTCTCTGTGTCGCTCTTTTCCTCTATCATGTTGATTGGCGGTGCCAAGCAATACACGGGAAGCTGGTATCTGCTCCCCAGTTCATCATAGCACTCCGTAAGCGCACCTTCAGAGGGAAGACACGAACGAGTTTCAGTGAACGTATTCCTGTTTACACTCTACAAACTGCTCATGCTCTTTTGCTAGCATGCCACAGCAGAGAAAGGCACTAAATGATGCCAGTCACTGTCCACTGATCAGCAGTGATGACCAAGTCCTGGGGGCACTCTGAGGATGCATCTAATTTTACATTAACCAGGACTCCAGCTCTTACCTCTTCTAAGTCATTTAACACCCAGCTCACAATTCCAGGAAGACAGAAAGGAAAGGAAATGGGTGCACACAACTCATTAGTGCTTAGAACAAATTAAAGGGAAATTTACATTGCATTGTTGTATCTGTTTAAGAAACGAATCCATTACCTTGAACAAAAAAACAAGAAAAAAAGAAAGAAAGCCCAGGACCTGGCTGACAGACTGCACCTGGCCAGAGTCCTTGGTTCTGAGATCAGACCAGAGATGACAGCTGCATGAGGTGTGACCGCCTATTGCCCACGTATGAATCTTGTTAGTACCATGACCACAGAAAGGACCGAGATGTTTTACTTAACCCCACTCAGCTAATCTATCAGAGAAGCTCCAATTACAGAGGTGATTGGAGGGGTGTGATATTCATAATGAGCTACCTGGAGGGAGGGAAAAAAGCATATATGGCCAGGTGTGGTGGTGCACGCCTGTAATCCTGGCAGCTCAGGAGGCTGAGGCAGAGGATCACAAGTTCAAAGCCAGCCTCAGCAACTAAGCAAGGTCCCTGAGCAACTTAGCAAGACCTTGTCTCAATAAAATAAAAAATAAAAAAAGGACTGGGGATGTGACTCTGGGTTGAATACCCCTGTGCAAACTGGTCACATATCCAAATAGCCTAGTCCTGCAGCAAGAAGCCTGCCAGTGTCTTGACGGCCCGGCCGTGGTGGGAGTGAGTAAAGGGCAAGTGGAGAGCTCGCTGCAGACCCATCTGCTCTGCGAGGAGACACCTTCAGGTACTCGTCCCACTGGATGTCGGGGGTCAGTAGCGTGGGCCCCACAGGTGCAAGTGTAGCACATTGCCATAACTGCCCTGCTATTTAAAACATTCTCCTGGAAAGACACCATACCAAACCACTATCTTTAGAATTGAGACCAAGAAGAAATTTCCTGCCTTTTTATTAATGAGCTGTGCAACCTTGAAGAGCGACGTTCTATTTTTTTTTTTTTTAATATTCTTTTTAGTTGTTGATGGATCTTTATTTACTTATTTATATGCAGTGCTGAGAACCAAACCCAGGGCCTCACATGTACTAGGCAGGCACTCTACCACTGAGCTACAACTCCAGCTCCGAACAGCAACATTCTTTAACCTGCAATTCCTTTTTCAATCACAATATGAAGCAGGAAGAAGCTGACCTCTACAGAGGCACGCCTGATAGAGCAGGACTGCAGCACTGCTGCCTTGACTGAAAGCACCCCACCCCTCGAGAGGCAGTGTGGAGCCGACACAAACTGCACCCCGACAGCTGGCTCGGCTCTTACTGGACCTGACCTTCACCCTCCACCACGAGGCAAAGAAGCCCATCTCCTGCAGCCTTGTGTTTCGGGTGGAATTTTCTCATCTCAAATGAGTAAGAGAGGAAAATGCCAAGGTGAGTTCCAGGTAGACTGTGCCTCACCCTGTTCCAGTGCAGGCAGCACCCAGACCCTGACACTGGACGGGGAGCTGTCCATGCTCCATGCGGCTTAGAAGCACCTATGTTCTAACATTTTTGGAGAAGACGACTTCTTTTTTACTTAATATGAAGTTTTCTGGTATACCAACTTTCCCTTTCTTCTGTCTATAAAATTAGAATCTGGGGCTGGGGATGTGGCTCAAGCGGTAGCGCGCTCTCCTGGCATGTGTGCGGCCTGGGTTCGATCCTCAGCACCACATACAAAGATGTTGTGTCTGCCGAAAACTAAAAAATAAATATCAAAAAATTCTCTCTCTCTAAAAAAAAAAAAAAATAGAATCTGCGCTCGCTCTCTCTCTCTCTAAAAAAAAAAATTAGAATCTGCGTTACAAATATACTCTGGTTTTATATATTTTTTCTCTAGTTTTAAACTAAAAATTACAGTTCTGGTTTCCAGTATGACATGTAAGAAACTTGGAAGTCCCAGTCCAAGTTTCCTCCTAACAAGGAAAAACCTAAACAAATTAAAGTCCCAACTCCTCCTCGATCTGAGAGAGGGGTAAGGTCACAGGGCAAACGACAGTCATCAAGATGGCCAGCCAGCCAGCCAGCCAGCAGAACACAGAACCACAGCTGACTACAACACAGCAAGAAAGCCTGAATGGTGAATGGTGATTGGTGATTGGCAAATGGCTGGAGGCCAGGATAGTCCAATCTTAGGGGAACCTGCAAGGGGACCAAGCCCTGCGGGTGGCGAGGGAAAACACCTTTGTAAGTTTTACCTCCTGGAGTTTAGCTACCTCCTCATAGCAAATATCAGAGAAAAACTCCCTGTGCTTCTGGCAGAGCAGGCATAAGGAACCATCTTGAACACGCCAGAGCACGCAGCCCTCAGAAGAACTAACTAGAGCCTAACCTGCGGGGATCACAGTAGAGTACAAGTGACCCATGGGGAAGGAAACGCCTACCCTGCCCCCTCTAGCCGTCCTGTCCTACCTAGGGTGGTATTATGATGAGAAAGCCTGCGAAGTTCACAGCTTGAGGTTCAGACTCAGAGGCTGAGGCCTAGTCATAGGACTCTAGAAGCTCCCCCCCACCCCTCACTTTACTCCAGGCTCATTTACAGCAGTTCCTTTTTGCCAAAAAACACGTCTACCTTTCCACAAAAAATGACAAGATTCTAAAAGGCAATGAACAGTTTGAAGACAAAGAACAAACCCCCAAACCAGGGACTCAGAGGGAAAAGAGGTGTCAGAATAAGCAGACTGGGACTTTAAAACAGCTGTACTTAACATGCCAATGGCTAGGCAAGCAAGGAAGGCAACCAGAATGATGGAAGTCTAAGGAAGAACCCAAAACGCGTGAGGACAAAAACCACTGTGACGGAAATGAAGACCTCCCTGATGGGCTTATTAGTGGACTGGACATGTTCAAGGAAGGAATCTTGGAGTTGAAGGATATTTCAGTGGAAACCTAAAATTTCAAAGCAAAGAGGGGAAAAAAGACTGGCAGGGGAACCCAACCTAACAAAAACCCCGAACAGAATACCCAAGAACAGAGGGACAGCTCCAGAAGTTATAACTTATGCACAATGGGACACCAGGAGCAGAAGAAGTCAACAGGAGGTACTTGGAACCATTATGAAGGAGAATTCCCCAACTCACCCTCAGACACTACAGCACAGATCCAGGAAATTCAGGGAACATCAAACAACATAAATGCCAGAAAAACTAGACATGTATCATTTTCAAACTATACAAGATCAAAGATAAACTCTGTTCCTTTAGAAGCCAGATGTGGAAAACAAACCTTACCCATAGAAAAGAAAGATGGGGTGAGGGGATTACACCTGACTTTCAGAAGCCACAGAAGGAAGCAAGAAATGAATGGGCTGAAATGTTTAAAGTATTGAGAGAGAGAAAAAAAAACTATCCAGAATTCTGTATCCTGTGAAATAAATCAAGAAAGACTAGCTTAGAAAACAGAAACTGAGAAAATGTTTCCAGTAGTCCTGCTTTGCAAGAAATAGTAAAAGAAGTTCTTAGGATAAATGATCTAGGTAAAAAAACTCAGATTCACATAAAGCAAGGAAGAATACTGGAGAAGGAACAAGGCAATGTAGGAACTTTTATTTTTCTTTTTTTAAATATTTACTTTTTAGTTTTGTGTATTTTATTTATTTTTTATGTGGTGTTGAGGATAGAACCCAGCGCCCTGCGCATGCCAGGCGAGCGCACTACTACTTGAGCGAAGTCCCTAGCCCTTATTTTTCTTATTTGTAATTGATCTAACATAAAAATTTGTTCAAAACAACAGTGTATTCAATTATGTATACTTATTTATCTATTTATACAAGCTTATATACCTGAAAGATGCAAAGGACATAAGGAATTATGGTTATTTTATTATAAGGCATCTACACTACCTGTAGAGCATTATAGTGTTATAGGAAGACAACCACTAAAAATGTAACAGGAGTAAACCTGATACGCTAAGAAAGGAGAGATGATGGAATCACCACATATTCAACTAAAACCAAAAAAGGAAGAAAAGGAGTGGAAGACAAAAATGGGAATAAGAACAAGGACAACAAGCTGTAATAGAGACAGCAGATGTTAGCTACTGACATTAAACACTAGTTATCTACATGTACCAAATAAATAAAACGGATTGGGGGAAAGAGCTAGAGAAAGATGGACCATGCTAACACTCATTAAGACAGAGTGGGAGTCGCTATATTAATTTCAGGTGGAGTAGACTTCAAAGTAAGGGATGTCATCAGGATAAAGGGTAGCATTAAATAATGATAAAGGGGTCAGTTCTTCAAGATATGGTAATAGTCCTTAACGTGTATGCACCTAACAACACAGCAAAATATGAGAGATAGAAACTGCTAACGCTGCAAGGACAAAGGATGAATCCACTACTGCGACTGAGCCTTTTAATTCCCCTCCTCAGTGAGAAACAGACAGATCCACCAGGCAGAAAACCAGAAACGACACCCTTAAACGCAATACCACCCTCAGGCAGTTTGATATAATGGACACAAACTACTCCACCCAACAGGAGAACAGACATTCTGCACGCTCAATAAAAAATCTCTTAACAAATCTAAAGGAACAGAAATCAGACAAAACTGCTTCTCAGACTATGAACTAGAAATCAATATTCATCAATATTAAGCAATACACATGTAAATAACACATAGGTCAAAGGAGAAATCTCAAGAGAAATTAATATTTTGAATTAAATGAAAGCACAATTTAAGGAAATTTATAATGTATATTATCAGAAAAGGAAAAAAGATATAGCTGGACATGATGGCACATGCCTGTAATCTCAGCGACTCATGAGGCTGAGGCAAG